AAATATGAAGGATTAGGCTTGTATTTATAGTGGAAGATGTTAATTAGCCGTTGGGAGGTGATTAGGATTGATTAAATTCAAAATCACAAATCAGGAACAGTAATCCAACGGTCACGGTAGGGGGGTCCCGTCTATACGGTAGGGGGGTCCCGTGCTTACGGTAGCTAGGTACCTTCTCAGGCCAAAACTCTCTGGCGGTACCTATCTTAGTACGGTACCCCTTACGGTAGGGGGGTCCCGTCCATACGGTAGGGGGGTCCCGTGCGTACGATACCTAGGTACCTTATGACCATTTTGACAATTTTTTTATTTTTGTCCAAATCATTTCCAATTTTGTTTAAAACCTTTTGGATATTTGAAAATGATTATAAAAGGGTTTTAAACATGTTTTGTGAGTGTTTTTGAGCTTGTGAATATAGGTATATAAAATCATATCCTTACATTGGTTTCTACCTATATTCTACGCTAGTTTAGTGTTTCGACTTCATTCTTGAGTACCGAATCTTAATGGATTCTTGTTTTTCCTGAAACACTTAAACAAACGTTAAGCTCTTATATTGTTTGTTAATATCAAAACATGAGGCTTAGCAAACCAAGGCTAACAGGAGTAATATATTATAAATATAATAATCTTTTTAAATTTTATTATTAAATAAAAAAATTTATTTATAAAATTTAGTTCAAATTTTATTATGTGTAGATTGTATTTTTATTTGAATTTCATTTTTTGTAGATGAATTTAAAAATATTAACATAAATTTCAAATATCATTTTGTTATCATTTGTTCACTTTAGTTTGTGAAATATAAACAAAGTTTCATAAACATTTCTTGCATTTATTTTTTTTAGTTTTTTATGTTACTTAAATATACTTTCGGTTTTTCAAACATAAATGATTTTGTGACATCCCAATTTGAACTGAAACCAATCCCGAATGACTCCGAATCTTACCAAACTGGAATTTTGGCATCGGTACGACGTAAACTCCCATACAAAACCAAAATATTTTGCACGGTATCAACACAACCTAAATATCATACCATGCTCACCCCTTGTGTTGGGAGGGTTTAAGACGCAGCAAAGAATTTGGCACAACTTTTATCCTTCGGAAAACCGTCTTTGGTCTCGTGTAGCTGTGGAACCCAGTGGAAAGTAAACTTTCTAGCAGGAAATTAATCTTTCTTGTAGATCAGAACATGATGTTGTGCAATATATCAGCCACCCATTAGCAAAATTAAGGGGTGGGCATAACTATGAATACTACATTACTACTAACACATTTTCTGTGCAAATGGTGTCATGAGAATTGTGAAATACTTTTTGATCCCTAACACGCTGTTATCTTACAAGTTTCATTCTATTACAACAACAAACATCAGTTTGGCAAAAACAGCCCTAGAGAAAGCGCCGCCAATCAGGTCCTTTGGCGTACCCTCCTTCCATCAGTTCCACCACTGTCTGAAAGATGTGCCCAAACGCTCCTAGACTTCCCCCCTCCGCTGCTACAATCATCATCATCACAACCAGCCACTGTCTTCAGAAGTTCCGACTGAAGAGACGGGCAATTCTCTTTCAGGTACTCAAAGCCATCTGTTTGCATCACAGCTGCAACACAGATCCAAAACCCTCAAAAAATTGCCAACAGTAATAACACTCCTACCTAGGATTTTTCCCATTATTTACTCAGCATATTTTCACCGCATGTAATACATTAATATCCCAAGTATTCCCAAAGATGAGAATATGAGATGAAGCACACTAAAAGGGATGGGTTTGAAGATAGACTGTTGGACTCACAATGAATCAAGACAAATGCACATGTATAACTTTTTTTTATTTATTTAGTTTAAGCTATAAGAACAGATATATTGGGTGCAAGAAAGCATGCATTCCAAAAACACATCGTGGTGGAAAATGCCAAGGAAAGAAAATTGGGAAGAAATTTGGAAGGAAAGATGCGGAAAAGATATCAACTTTAGATATTTGTTCAAAACTTATTTTAATAGACTAAGGAAACTAAATACTTCCTCCGTCCCATAAAGTTGTTCTCATTTTGACTTTTAAGAAATTTAAGGGAGGGATATTTTTGTGTTGGCTTTCCAAAAATGCCCTTGATGTCATGGATAGATTATTAGTAAAAAGATATGATGTGATAGGTAGGGTAAGAATTATTAGGGGTAAGAGTGGTTTTTTAATAGAAAAAGGAAGAACTTTGTGGGACACAAAAATAAAGAAAGGACTTTTTGGGACGGAGGGAGTGTGTTTTTTGAAACAAAGATGTAATCAAATTTGATTTTCTTTCATATTATCCAAAGTCAAAATAAAATAGCCTTAGAAGAGTGGGATACCATTTCCCGACTCCCATATTCAGCTCACACATGTGTGGCATGCGTAATTTATGTGCTTTTTCACATATCACAACTGATGCTACAGAATCATATACATGGAGGGGCAGCAAAAAAGACAGTATATACAACTGATACATACCAGCAAGGTTTTCAGCAGCAAATCTAAGGCAGACGGCTTTGAGTTCCATGGCATGATAACAGTCTGCAAGAGCTAGCATCTTTGCAACCGAGTCCACTGTTATATCTTTGCAGAGATAAGCTTCACACATCTGCTTGAGTCTTCCCAGATCATATCGATCGGCTGCTTCGAGCAACTTCGCTGCTAATGCATCAGCCACTGAGGTTATACTAGAAGAGCTAGATGATTCTAGATCATCTACCAAAAGAGCATCTGTGTACACAAAGTGCAGCATAGCCTGTTGTATATCACACACACACACAAAAATCAGAAGTACCAGTCAGTGGAGAGATCAATGTAGCAGAGGAACATCTTCGTAAATACTGCTGCAGCTCGTGAAGGCTAAAACATTTAGTGATAATTTAATTCCAAAAAGAACCCGGAAAACAAACCAGTAGTAATAAAGTCTTCACACCTTGAAGACCTTGGGTTCCATATTACTAACAGCAATGTCCATCTCATCACTCTCCTGTCCATCAAAGAACTCTGAACGAAAAATGGGAGAACGAGCAGCCATTACCAGCTTATGGGCACGAAACTTTTCACCAGAAACATTGAAAGTAATATCAGACTCTTCCATGTTTTCTAGAAGCATGCCAAAATGTGCTCCAATATCTGAATCAGGAACGTGAATGGAAGGCAAGGTTGCCAAGTCTATTGTAGAGCGCACGACTCCAACAGTACAATTAATTTTCAAACAGTCATCCTTTAGATAATCAGACGTTTCCAGCATTACACGCCTGAAAAAACGTTTGTATCCCCTAAAAATTTCAACGTGGGAAACCGTTAGAAGTGGAGTTTGAGGCAGTTGAGGCCAGAAAGATAATAGAGAAAATAAGGGCTCCTTTACGTCTATTTATTGTTTTGCAGTCTCTCGTTCATGTTTTGTGTTTTTTGTTTTCATAATATTCACTCTCAATCTTCTATTTCTTTATTTTCTAACTTGAAAAACATCTTTAACACATATATCCAATTTCACAATATGGGGACCAGTTGCGCTGGTCGGCTAGTATGGCGGTGGTGGTCACAAACATGTTTAACCACCTTTTAACCCCACATCTCTGCTAACAGCAACAATGGTCGTATTTATATATACAGTGCAGTTAATAATGTCAATCAAAAGTAAGCCATATGGAGTACATGATAAAGAGAACAATTAAAGTACTAGATTAGGATGAAGCGCAAAAGTCGTTCCCCTGAAGCGATGGTTGAGGCAAGGAAGGCATTCGACTCAAGTGCACCGACCTTGCTTTGCCTGACCACGTTGAGGTGGTAGAAGGTCGCCTGAGGCGCCTTAGGGAAGGGAGGCACTTGCCTTTCAAAACTATGGGTCAATGGTGAGGGCTATGACAATAGTGGTGGTCAAAAGGTGACGGGTATGGGGTTGCCAACAGCAGCAGTGGTTGCTAGAGATGTTGGTGGTTAGACAATGTTTTTCGATGATAATGACGGTTAACACAAGCAACCAAAGGGAAAAAATAGAACTAACGTTAACACCAGCCATTGGCGATATTAATAATTACCAACTGTAGCAATGTCAATACTTGCATGGAGTAGAGATTATGTCAGGGTTAGCACGAGTCACAAGAGAGGTGGTGGGGAGGGATTGGGCGTGTAGTGTGGGATTCAGGGACAATGGTGGTGAAAGTCACTGATCACAACAGGGGTTATCAATGGTGGAGTACATAGGATGTCGTGGTGGTCTTGAGTGAAAGACCCAATCCAATCCCAGGTAAGAAACAAGGGATGTTTAACGTGTCAATTTTAATTAGTTCACTATTTTCCCGAAAAATGTTATGTATTATAGAAAACGTAATAAAGATGTTTTCTAGTTTTTGAAGAAAAAAAATAAAAAAATGAGAACAATCTTTTGTTTTCTACATTTGAAAAAGTGTTTAAGTACACATTTTTTGCAAAATTTGGAAAATAAAAAATGAATACGTGTAGTCCTGAGAACAGAATCTTTTGTAGTTATACACGACCCCAAAACATAGGGTTTGTGGTTGTTTTTGTAGTACAGCACCCCAAAAGATAAACATGTTTTCTATTTACCAATATTTAGGGGAAAATAATGGCTTCTCCTGATACTGAACAGTTTGTCGGTGTTCGTACATTGCATTATTATAATGTCGACTGACTAGTGGCAAGTCGCTAGACTACTCGATGATTAGTTCATAAGTCAAAATAGGTAATGCATTGTAAAATAAACATGATTAAATCACTGAGCAACAACCTAGTTGAATCCCACGAGAGTAAGGTCTGGGGGTGTGTGTATGCAGCCCTTACACCTACTCGAAAGAAGGGGGGCTGTTTCCAAGAGACCCCAGCAACTAAATCAGAGGTGTTCCAAAATAAATAGAAAATATAAAGGGGCACTAAACAAAAGTTAAAAGCAAATAAAACATAAAAGTAAATTATACAATAAAATGTGAGAATGACGATTAAATAAAAAACAAAAATTCTGTAAAATATATATGGAGTACAACTCAATCAGCACAGGAAACACAAACTAACAATCTTCATAAAAAATGAAACTAAATAAAACAGTTTGTATACTTTCTACCAAATAAAAGCATAACAAAAAAATAATACTCTTTACCATTAGCTAAAGAGCACAAAATTGAGAATAAAAAATAGACACCGCGAACAAAAAATAAAAAGAGAAACAAAACAAGGCAAACTGGCATGACCGACAACTAAAACATAAATTAACCTGGAACGGCATCTTTGGCCATGGTGTCAAAATTGTGATAGATCTGGAGGTGATAAGGTTGGGTTCCAAGTCGATCTATGTGTCAGCCAAGATCGATAAAGATTCAAGTGGAAGACTTGCACTATAGACTAGGGTTTTCAATCGAATTGTGCATTCATCCATACACCAGTTGTAAGTCGTCATCAGTAGTCCTCCCTCCTCTGCTGACCGAATGCAAACTTGACGACTAGTCGGCAATTAGTCAACGATGTGATAGCAATTTTAAATCGTTTTATAAGTTATTGGCTAAAGCAAATCCAACATGTTTCTAGAGATAGACAACTCAAAATTGTCAGCCCCAAATTCCTTCCAAGGAAACCATCTTCATCCTCACCCCTAAAGATGAGGCATTAGTTAAAAAGAAATAAAAGCCTACCCATGGTATAAGAGCATTGCATGCTTGAAAACAGACTACAAATAAAATGTAACTAAACAAACCTTAGCTTATAAAAACTCTCAAACTTATTTTATATATATATATATATATATATATATACACATACACACACACACACCACACACATATATATAAGATAACAATTAAGAGCAAATACCCTTTGTTGGAAAATTAAAGGCATAACGAAAGGCATATTTGTAGCACAGTATATTTGGAAACACATATTGCTTTTGATAGTTGAAAGATACTAGCACTTACCTATGAAAAACACACACAAAAAACACAATACTTTGTTGTGCATATAGTTTAACACTTCGCAAAAATCACGCAAGTTTAACATAAATATCAAATGCATGAGAAAAGATCTATCCCACAGATCATTATATCATTGCTGTCTTGTCATCATAAAAGAATTGTTCTGTAGGAAAGAAAAAAAAGAAGAAAAGGAGCAGTTGTGATATTAATTAGAGCAATGCAACTAATATGTAAAACCAAAAAGGAGAGGTTCTTTACATAAACAAGAGGGTTTTATGTGGGATAATTGAGACCACTGCTCTCTAAACTGGACAGAAATGTGGAATAATACTGACAAAATGTTTCACTTTAGTTATTTACAGACCCTCTTATTTGCTGTGCCAGAGAACCCCCTTTGTCCCACAAAGATAGTCCACAATTTGTTCAACACAAATCAAGAAATACTAGTTAACAATATTCATAGTTATGAAAGGCAAGAGGTCAACACAAATCAAGAAATACTAGTTAACAATATTCATAGTTATGAAAGGCAAGAGGTCAACACAAATCAAGAAATACTAGTTAACAATATTCATAGTTATGAAAGGCAAGAGGTGAGCGGCGGGCAAGGACCTTTTTTTGAGGCGAGTGACGGGCCCTCAAATGGCAAACAAAAAAAGGCAAACAGATATAGATAATTACACACACACACACACACATAGTAGTACAGGGGAGGGGGTAATCTTACACCAAATGAATAATTTAGTGAAAGAAAAATAATCAATAATAAAAATTTATTATTTTTCTCATCTCTAAAATCAATTAAACAAATCATAAAATTTGAAGAATAATACTGAAATTGAAAAAATAATAGTAATCAGTAATCATTAATACTCCCTCCGTCCCTCATAGATCTTCTCAATAACCCTTTTTCTTTGTCCACAATACATCTTCTCATTTCATTTTTTAACAATTAAAATACCACAACTACCCCCACTTACTTTATTTATTACACCTCACCCACCTCATTTAATACACTCCACCCATTTTTCATTAAGGGTATTATGATAAACTTTCACCTTTTTTCAACTCTCCTTAAAAACCACCAAAAGTCAAAATGAGAACATCTTAGGGGGACGGAGGGAGTATTAATTAAATATTATAAATACCGAATAAAAAGATACTGAGTTTAAGAATAATATACTTGCTCACAAATTGGAAGGGCTGAGCGACATGCGTTGGGGAAGAAGGCTAAGTGTTGTGTGATGGCTAAAGTCTGTGGCGCTGCGCAAGTTCCGCTGGAGTTGGCTGAAGTGCGATAATAGAGGAACACATAGGGACATGAAGCGGATTCAAATTGGGTCAAGTTCAGTCCAGGTACTTAATTAGGTTTAGGTAAAAAACAAAATTAGGTCAAGGTTAGTCCAGAATCTTTGACTGATCAGAAAGGCGCTGGTAGCAACCGCCTTGTGCCATAAATAATAGCAAAAATGGCAACTGCCATGGTGTGCCTACCTCATCTCACCTCGCTCAACCGATTTCAGGCGATGGAGGGTCACCACAGCGCCATAATCGCCATAGGCGACCACGGCGACCGCCTTTCATCACTATGAATAAAATTCTAGCAATGTATTTTACTTTTATTTTAAAATATACTCCGATGCATCATTAATTGCATTAGTTCAATAGGAAATGTGGATACAAAAGGTTGGAAGGACAACATGAAAGTAAAGTATGTGTAGTAAGGGGGCAAAGAGTGTAGAGAGTAAATGACAAAGCAAATGATCCAAGAATGACATGAATTTATAGGAACCATAAATACATGACATGCAGAGAAGTCAATTAAATCTCAAGTAAAGAACACCCTACACTTGTATACTTCACTAATTATGCTGCGAATAATCATCTAAAATTTCCAAGTGATGGGAATTTAAAACGTAGCATTTGAGAACCAAATTAGAATTCAGTTTCACTATGTGCATTAATATGATCACAATGAAATTTGACATAGTAGTACATAAATTTAACACTGGAAAACTATAAAATCTCCTTAAAGAAAAACATAAAATTTCAAGAAAGGCATCTTCCTCAATGGATCATTTCCACAGAAGAGAAAGAGCTGTCTATTCAAAAACACTTTGCCTAATAATTGGTGGAAGTGCTATTGGCACATAGACTCATAAGTTTGCCTTCCACAGTTGCAACATACATTGCATGATGCAGATAGTGAGTAGTGTGTGTGACTCATTAACGACCCACATAAACACATGAATGTCTTCTCAAACACAATAAGCCTAAATTTAAGCTTGTGCACATGCCAGAATTGCAATATCTACCAGAGTGTTCTGCCAGGGGCACCATTTAACAACATCGACTGCGACATGACTGTACAGAGAAAATAAAAGATATTCACGCCGTTCCAAAATAAACTCCACACTTTCCTTTTATGGTTTTCCCAAAATATACTTCTCTTCTCATTTTTCCAGTTTAGGAAAGAAATATGCGGCTCACAATCTTTCTCTCTTCTCTAATTAAATTCCAACCACCAGCCTTTTGCTTTTCAACTTCTCTTAAACTTAATGAAGTCACACCTCACACCAAAGAGGTTTGGGAATGAGGGAGTATTAATTTCAAAAAATGAACAAGCAACTAAACTATGTACACACCTAGACCTATAACCTATATACAAGGTTATTGTTAAATTTTACTCATAAATAGTCATAGCATGTGGCTTTATGGCACCCAGACTCACAAAGTATTGGTCCACTGTTTCAGTGCCACGAGGATAACGGTGATTGTATTTCATGTTGATACACGCATAATATATATATTCTCTCTTTTCTTCCCTCTGAATAGTCATGCACCACAAAGATAACTGTGTATTTCATATTTTCACAATGCGTGCATAACAACTCAAAGATACGGTCCATAACTGTATTCACTTCTTACTTGTCAAACAAGCATCCTTTAAGACTTTAACTTCTTTATATTTCAGATATCTATAGAAACCAATAGAACCAAGTAAGCTTGAACACATATCTCAGTGAGAATGCTGAAAAATGATCAAACATCTGTAGGCACAAGCAAAGTGTGATGGATTAACTTCAAATCATTTCATTTTTGAATGCCCGCCAAATAACTCGTGAACCTGAAAACATTAGTTCAAGAGATATAATTTAAAGAAATTACCACATGCTGCCACGGTATTTCAAAGTGTAGGGACCAGTCTCAAGGGATCGATCGAAGTGGCTGTGGACCTTGTGCCTGCCCTTTCCGCTCTGATCAATCAGAGTCAGCTCGAACAAAGCCCTAACATCAGTCCCCTCACTCGCCAAAGCAATGAAAACGGAAACGTACGTCGAATTGTCTTCTGGGTTTTTACCGTCCGGGTAAAAGTAGATAGCCCATTGGTGACCGCCGACGGTGAAATTGTCACTGGCAATATGTTTCCCGATCCCCATGCCCTTGGCCAACGAGTACCCCTGGATCACGAACCGGTGAGATCCGTTGATCGTCTCCGTCACAGATCGCGAGCTGGTCTGCGGCGCCAGCGGGGCGCTGTTGTTCATCTCCGCCATGGGTAAATCTTGAGCAGCTAAACTTCCAAAAGGGAGAAAATCATAGCGGGAAAATCAAAGGTAGAAATGATCTAACGAAGAGCTTGAAATCTTCTTTAGGGCTCTCGTGAACAGTGAAATAGCCGATTGCAAGGAATGCAGGCAGGTGGGACGATTTGGAATGTGCGGTGTTGCAAGGACGGTTGCGAATTTATTATACGTTCGCGACAACTTTTGCTGTCATCTGGAGACATTGGACATGGTTGCTGATCCGAACCGGGAGAACTTAAGTATGTATTTTTCGACTTAAATGCATTAAATTTTAATTATCAATTACTCTTAATTTGTGTTGCATATCAATACGATAAATTAAAATCTTAATAATTTTCAGTAAGATAAATCTATTAAAATAATTTTTATGTTAATATATGTTACCATTTTTATCTAATTGAGATCCAAAATTTATCTAATTTGACTAGAAAAAATCAAACTGAACGAATACACTCAAACGGAGGTAGTATGTGTTAGAAACCCTAAGGAGATGAAAACGAGATTGAAGGAGACAAATAATGATTTTCATTACCTTGTTAAAATAACCTATCGCCAGCTGTCGTAATCGACGACCTCGGAATCGGTGACAGGTCTGGAGTGCTGAACCAGGGAACGCTCGATGGAATCACTTTATCTTGAAGGCTTGTATCCGATTTGAGAACCAGCGCCGACGGGGAAGGCGATCCAGAAGATGAGATCGGAAGAATAGAAGAAGAAGATTTTCGAAGAATGAGATTTGCGACAGAGTCTTGACTCCTGAAAATACCTGCGATTCTGGTTGGATTTGAAAACAAATTTTTTATTTATACTTCAAACCAAAAATCCATTAGAATCCATATTTTTAACAATCCTTAAAAATCTATCAACTTTTCAATATCATTAGATTTAGAAAGATTTTTTAAAATCTCAATTGAATACCTCCAAAATTTAATTGATTTTTCAAAATCCTAATTGAATACCCATTGACTTTTAAAATCCAAAAAAATCCTACAGAGTCTGGATTGAATACACCCCCCTTAATATTTGATAAGTAGGAAACAAATATAAAAAACCATGTATTAGTAAAATCATTAAGTAATTTACTGTATTTTGCTGAGAATGACGAGGGGTAATTTAATTGAGAGACGGGTGTGGGAAATTATCACTTCAACTCTATATTGAACAAGTAGATAACACTAGGAGTGACGGAGAACTGGTCGTGGAAAAGAACCAAAGAAGTAGGGAATACACTTGTAATATTTGATAAATAAGGACTAGATATAGAAAACTACCTAAATGGTGTGCTTATTATTTGTACATTCCTGATATTTATAAAATTGGTATTATTTGTGATCCTCGCATTAAGATTGAAAATTTTAAAATTCTGATTGACTATTACTACACTTGTTTTTTAGATGAAAATAATTATTCTTACAACCATTTAATAGAATGCGCACAAGAAAGAGATAATGCTATTAATCTTTTTGAGGCTTTATTTAAAGAATTTCAAGGAATATACAGTAATGCACCGGAAAAGACAACACCTCCTCCGCCCCCCAAATCAAAAAAAGGTTTTAAAGGAATAGTCGGTGGACTCTTGGCAAGAAAAGGTAAGCGTGGTCAGCCTTCGACGAGTTCAGGTGGTAAAACTGTAAGCTTGTACAACGAACTTGCTATGTACCAAGGGGTGTCATGCGATTACGACGACGACGACGTGGAGTTTGACGTCATCGCATGGTGGAAGCGGAACGAACACATGTTCCCATGTCTCGGAATGCTAGCAAGACAAGTTTTATCCGTCCCGGTATCAACCGTAGCAGTGGAACAAGAATTCAGTTCTAGCGGCAACGTTCTAACCGATTACCAAAGTTGTCTTAGCGCTGAATCTCTTGAAACACTTGTTTGCAACTGAGATTGGCTCTTGGCAAAACGTCGAGCTCAAGAGTCAGGGTACGAATTCAAATCTGAACATTACATGAATGCAACTGAAGAAGAATTATTTTCATTGATTAAATTGTGAGGAGAGTACATGTATATATACAAAAGTCTCAATCCTAATTAAGGTAGAAGAGACAATCTAGGAAACCTATACAAATATGGTAACAATAATAATACAATAATATTAAATATATTATATATATTTAACATGCTCCCGGCTACGTCGGCAGTGCTGGGGGTCGGATACCCAGCCTTTCTCTGAAGTCAAGAAATAATTGTGAGGGCAGTCCCTTTGTGAAGATATCAGCAAACTGAGAAGATGATGGAACATGCAGGACTTTGATCTGATCGAGCGCCACCTTATCACGCACAAAGTGTATGTCAACCTCGACGTGCTTGGTGCGCTGATGCTGCACCGGGTTTGACGAAAGGTAGACCGCACTGACATTATCACAAAAGACAAGTGTGGCAGGATGGAGTCGCTGCTGGAGCTTAAGGAGAAGGTTTCGGATCCAGCTGGTTTTAGCAACAGCATTCGCTACAACCCGGTATTCCGCCTCGGCGCTGGAGCGAAAAGTAGTGGCCTGGCGCTAAGACGACCATGAGACAAGGTTGTCGCCGAGGAAAACGCAGTAGCCCGAAGTAGAACGTCTGGTATCAGGACAGCCAGCCCAATCAGCGTCTGAATAAGCCTGTAGATAGTAGGTGGCGGATCTTGTCAAGTAAATGCCATGAGTGGCAGTGCCACTGAGATACCGGAGAACACGCTTCATGGCTGTAAAGTGGGCGTCGTGCGGGGCATGGAGGTGTAGGCAGAGCTGCTGGACTGCATATGTGATGTCAGGACGAGTGAATGTGAGGTACTGCAGCGCGCCAACAATGGATCGGTAAAGGGAGGGGTCGGAGAGCGCTGTGTTAGCTGACGCAGACAGCTTCGCCTTTGTATCCACCAGGGTTGAGATGGGCCGACAAGAAACCATCCCTGCCCTCTCAAGGATGTCGTGCGCGAACTGAGTCTGGTGGAGGAAGAGGCCAGAATCTATGCGGTGAACATTAATCCCGAGGAAAAAGTGCAGATCGCCCATATCTGTCATGGAGAACTCAGCCTTGATGATCTACGGACGAGACATGAGCTTGAGCAGAGGCTGGATGGTCAACCGGGTAGAGAGGACCTACATTATTGGAGCGATGCATCACGGTCCCCGTCTGACGATCCTTCACAGAGAAACCATGAGCATCAAATTCAACAGTGCAGTCATTATCACGAGTGAGTTTGCGAACAGAGATAAGATTATGAGTAATATGGGGGGATATTAGGATATTATTTAGGGAGAGGGGAGGAATGGTGGGAAGGGTGTGGCTACCAACCGCCGTAGTGCGAACCTTAGATCCATTACCAACAGTGATATAGTGAGGTGAATATAAAACTTGAGAAGAGACATGAGAAAGAGTACCTCGGTTTGAGGCAATGTGGTGTGTGGCACCGGTATCCATAAGCCATGTGGGTTCACGGAGGGACAGGGTATCAAATTGATGGGC